CCCCCCCCCCCCCGTGCCACCCCGGTGCACAGACCGCGCGCCGCTGACAAAGGGCATCGTGGGCGTCCTGGTCATCGTCGGCCTGGTTAGCCGCGTCCTCGAGCTCCGGCCCTACTTGGACTTCATCTTGGTGCCGAATGTCCTGGGATGGTGGCAGGTGCGTCTCCCCCGGTCGCTGGTGCCATCCTTCTCTTCTGCCTTCCATTTCGAGGCGCCCTCCTCCCTCGGCTCGTGCTGACTCCCGTGCGCCGACAGCTTTGGCGCCTGGTCACCTATGTCCTGGTTTTCGAACACTCCGGCGATGCGGTCCTTGCCATCCCGCTTATTTTGCTGACGCTGCCGGACCTGGAGCGCCGGATGGGCAGCCGCAGTCTCGCCGTATGTCCCGGGCCCTCTGCTGCCTCCTGCAGCCTCGCATCTCACCGCCCCTTGACCCGGGCCAGCTAACCTCTTCGCCCTCCGGCCGCCTTGGCTCCTGGCATGCAGAATTACCTTCTGTCCTTCTTCATCTACACCACCATGCTGCAGCTCTTCTCCCTGGCCTTCCTGTCGACCTTCGGCTACAAGCGCGCGGCATTTGGACCGTATGTTCTGCGGCCGCCAGCCCTTTCACCACCCACCCCCTTGTGCATGCATCCTCTGACGCCCTCCGACCTTCACCGCACACACACGCGCGCGCGCGCGCGCGCGCAGGCACGCGATCCTCATGGCTGCGCACGCGCTTTACTACTCGCGCATCCCCGTTCTCCACAGATCGCGCCCCTTCGGCCCCACTGGACCGGCCTTCTCGGCGCCGAGTGTTCGCCTCGTGCTCTTCCTATTTGTGCGCCCCATCTCGATGGTCCCCCTTCGGTGTGGCACCCGGTCGCTGGGGTCTCGGCCCTGCCCCTCCCCCTCCCCCCTTCCTCCTCTGCTGACCCCTACCTGCCTCGTCGCCCGCCCGCTTCCGCTTCAGCTTGTGTTCCTTGGCCCGGATCGCCTTGTGGCCATGGCCTTCGGGCTGATTGTCGGCACGGTCCTCGCATCCGGGGTGACCACACGCCATGTCTTTTCGGATCTCGGGCCCATTGGGCCGCTGGTTGGTTTCCTGGCGGAAATGACCCTCGAGCTGCTCAACTCCCTGAAGAATGACCTAACTGGCAATGGCTTCGGCGTGGAAACATATCGCCACGATGCGGCACACCGACTGCTGGCTGGCCCAGCTTCCGGGCCAAAGGACCGCGGCCTCATTCGCGTGCCGGATGCCGTGGCAAGTGCCTGCCTTCGGGTACGAACTCGCGACCTCGCCCTCGTGCTGCCCCTGCCGAGTCTATCTCTGTCGTGTTTTTGCCCTGCCCGCCCTCCCCCCCCCCCTCCAACCACACACACACACACACACACACACACACACACACACCCTCTCCTTCCTCTCGCCGCTCAGATGCACGGCCACACATGCTGATTGTCCTTCCAGCTTCTCGATCCCATTTTGGAGGATCCCCCACCACGGCTGCCAGTAAGCATCCCCATTTGGAGGCCGGTCCATGGCTGATCCCCATCCTCCTCCTTCTGCTGTGGCTTCCTCGATGAGATAGCCCCTTCCTGCCTCTCTGCCGGGCCCACAGGTCAGGCAAATACATCCACAAAGGACCCCGCGATCCGAGCGGGGACTCTTTTTCTTCTTCTTCCTCTTCTTCTTCTCCCCATGCAGCCAGCTTTATTCCTGGACGCCTGCTCAAACACCCATGTCAGTCCGTCACGGAGAGCATACAAGCCTCGCCGAGACCAGGCCAGTGGGCAAAGCGCCGAGGAACCTCCGGCCCGGGGTGCTCCAGATCGCCGGCATCTCTTGCTCCGTCCGACTCGGCGCCCGACTCCCCGGACAGAACGCTCTCCCGCAGGCAGGGGCAGGGAGGGAGCTCGGTAGCCAGGGCCACGGCCTTCAGGAAGTGGATATCCACCGGGCCAGGCGCCGAGGAGGGGATGGCCTCTCCATCGGGCTCCGGCGCCTCGCTCGCGTCATCAGCCTCCGGAGGGTGAATGGACCCGGGCCACTGTCCCGCTCCTTCGGAATCCAGGAACAGCCCGGACACCCGGGGGATCCCCTCGCGAGCCAGGCGGAGGCAGTACTTCAAACAGGCCAAATGCGGGTTAGGCAACCACGGCGGCGCGCGGTAGCGGAGCGAGGAAAGAAAGCCACGCAGCGACAAGGAGGGGGGGGGGTAGGGGGAAGCGGAGGACCCCAGAGCAAGAGAGACGCACTTCAATGACTTCGGCCTCCGGGCCGACGACAATTGTGTGAATGAGATCCTGCGTCGGGGCAGCGGTGGCGGATGCCGTCGGAGCAGTTCCCTCGGCCGGGGTTGAGCTCGAAAGCGCCGCCGCGGCCGCCGGCCACCGGAGCCCGCCAATCCCGGCCCCGGTCACAGTGCTCGACACCACGGAGGTGACCGTGGAAATGGAGCTCGATAGGACTGACGGGACCATGCTCTGCAAGCGGCTGGCCGCAGCCAGGCCATAGGATGCCAGGTAGGATGACGCCGCGGCGGGTGTGCCGGCCGGCAGGGCAACATCCAGGCGCTGGAATGATGCATCCGGTCGAGCCACCCGCCGCGACCCGGGGATGTGCGACAGGCGGAAGCTACAGAATGGGTGCCATTTCATGGCACACGGGGAGTTAGAGCCAGAAAGGCGGAGGGGGGGGGAGAGAGACGCAGGAAGAGGGGTGGCAAGAGGAAGAAGGACCCTGGGAAGAACGTAACGGGGAGAGAGAGAGAGAGAGAGAGAGACGGGGGGGGGGGGAACGAAAAAAACGCACGCGCCGGCTGGACGCAAATCCAGAATCCGTGCAACCCCCTCGGCTAGGAGGCGACTTGCACAGCGGGGGGAGATCTGCGGCACGGCATCATGGTCCGGGTCGCGATGTCCGTCCGAGTTGGCTGCCCGAGGGTCCGCCTCATACGGGTCAGCCCAGGTGAACGCGCCGGGGCCGGTCTTGCGCTCATCCACCGCCTCGGGCCGATCCGGTACCACGGCAAACTTATACAGCGACTCTGGGGTGACCTCCCACAGGCGAAGGGCCTCGGCGGCCACACTCAGAATGACCTGGCTGCTGGTGATCCCATTGCCGGGGGGCTGCTTTCCCGGGAGCACCACGTCCGGTGATAGGAGAGACTTCGATGCGAAGAGGCCAACCGCATCATTGAAGTTGGCAGTCTGCCGATGGGCGGAAGTGCGCGCATGCATTTGTGTGAGTGTGTGTGTGTGTACGTGTACGTTTGCGCGTGCGTGCTTGCGTGTACGTGTACGTGTACGTGTACGTGTGTATGTATGTGCGTTTGTGTGTTTGTGTGTGCGGATGGAGGGAGGGAGGGACGGAACTGCCAGAGCATCAAAGGGGCACGTTGCCAGAACAGTACCTTCAAGATGGGCGCCCAGCGGCAAATGGCTGCGCAGGCGATGAACAGGCCACCCGAGCGAGCCGCCAGCATCGATGGGGCCGAAATGTACACCCGCTCCCAGAGAGACAGCGCTTCGGCCGATGTGAGGGATTCTGACGGGGGGGTGGGGGGGGGGGGGCAGGACAAACGAGGTCAGACTGGATGACGAGAGGAAAGCCGGCAGGGCAAGTCGCTCTCGGCAGCAACAGCAAGCCCCACGCACGCGAGAAGAGCGTCAAGGCTCCTCCAACAGCCCAGAGGTTGGGCGATGCCCAGCCGGCCTCCATCCCCTGGCTGGCGGCCAGGGGCGAGTGGTACACATGCAGTCGCGCCAGGGCCGTGAACCAGGTCTGCAAGATGGCGGTGTCAGTGGTCACCAATGGCCAGTCGGAAGGAACAACGCCCCTTTCCAGGGCACGTACGCGAATGTTCGAGGCTCCATCCTCGATCAGGAGCCGTGACAGGCCAGACAACTCAACCAGCCCGGCCAGCTGGTGCCAAGCCATGTGCGGCCGGTGGAGGAAGAGCGATACAAGTGGCGCGGCCACGGAGTCCAGGCCTGCAAATGGAGGAGGCCGTTAGCGCAAGCACACATGGCCAGGGAGAGGGGAGAGGCGAGGCGAGGAAGAAGGGAGGAGGGGAGTAGTCGGCAATCGTTGCTAGGGGAAAGGGGACTGGGGGGGGGGGGGGCTACGTACCCTGCCAGTAGACGCTCCCTTGCCCGGCGGCCGGCTCCAGGCACCAGGACTTCAGAGCCCGCGCGAGGCGCCGACGCCCGGACCGACGAGATGACAGAGCCGAATGCGACGGCTGACACCGGGGGAGGTCCAGGGCGACGTGTGCTCTTCCGATCTGGGGGGGGCTACGTACCCTGCCAGTAGACGCTCCCTTGCCCGGCGGCCGGCTCCAGGCACCAGGACTTCAGAGCCCGCGCGAGGCGCCGACGCCCGGTCCGACGAGATGACAGAGCCGAATGCGACGGCTGACACCGGGGGAGGTCCAGGGCGAGCTGCAGCGGGTCGGTTTTGCGCGCGCGCGCGCGCGCGTGTGTGTGTGTGTGTGGCCAAGCCCGTGGCAGGGGGGAGGGGAGATGGTGTTGGTGTCGGCGTGTCAAGTTGGCCTGCTGTTGGGCCATCATCTCCATCGACCAGCGCAAAGCGCCCCGGGGGCCAGGGGCCATGGCGAGGCACGACAAGCCCGGGGCCGAAGGGGGGAAACACGGAAATCGCACGCACCTGGCGGTCGGAGGCCGACGGCGCCGCCGAGTCCAGCGCGTCATAGGCACGCTCCCAGGCCGGGTCGTCCGGCAGCAGCAGATCGGAAGAGCGTCGTGGCTGTTGGGCCATCATCTCCATCGACCAGCGCAAAGCGCCCCGGGGGCCAGGGGCCATGGCGAGGCACGACAAGCCCGGGGCCGAAGGGGGGAAACACGGAAATCGCACGCACCTGGCGGTCGGAGGCCGACGGCGCCGCCGAGTCCAGCGCGTCATAGGCACGCTCCCAGGCCGGGTCGTCCGGCAGCAGCTCATCCCGGAAGCGGTCCATCTCTGACAGCGGCTCCGGGGGGCACTCATCCGGGTCTTGGTCAAGCAGACCAGCAAATGACACGCCATCGACCGGGAAGAAGTTGGGCCGCGCGAATACCGGCAGCAGGGTGGCCCACACCCGGGCACGGAGCCAGCGCGGGGTGCCGGCAGCCCGGACCAGCCCCCGCAGGCGCCCCGTGTCCCCGACTACCAGCAGCTGGGCCACCGAGCGCGACCGAAGCAGAGACAGGGCAAAATGCGACAGACCTGTCAGCAGCCGGGCTGATTCTCCATCGATCGCCGGGTCCGGGAGGGTCCCCCTGGCCGGGGAGCCATCGGCCGCGAGCTCGACCCCGGCCTGGCCCTCGGGCGAAGGGGCCGTCGCATTGCCGGCATCTGGCCCGGCCGCCAGCCATTGGAAGTGCCCAGCCTGGTCCGGGCGCCAGGATAGCGGCTGGCTGAGCAGCCGCACGATGGCCACAAACCCGAGGGCCCAGTGCAGGAGGTGTGTCTCGCGGATCGACGGCGAGGACACCGTGTCCCCGCTTGACAGGCCCAATTCCCCAGGCAGCCAGTCCGAACTGACGATCGCAGCAAGGTCCTGTCGGGTGGCCATGGGCGCCCAGCGGCTAAACTCGGCCTCGGCCACCGCCGCCAGGAGAGCGCACTCCGGCGCCTGGTAGGCCTCATCAAGCGAAGACTTGCCCTGCCGGTGGAGCGCTGCATGCGACGCCTCAACACAGGCCGCACCCAAGAGGCGACAAGCCAGCACCAATGCCGAGCCCAGATGAATGGTCCCATGCCGCTGCTGGAGGCCGAAAGTCGGAGTGTCTGCGCTGCCTGAGGCCATGGAGGCCGGTGAACATGCCGACGCCGTGGCGGCGCCAGGGACGGCCGGGCTGGCAATGGCGCAGGTGCCACCCTCGGTGCCATTTGAGGCATCGATGTCGGCCGCATTTTCCGGCAGGCGGCCCCACGACAGATCCAACTGCCGACAGGTCAAGGACACCGCGGCCACCGAAAGCACGGACCCGGAGCGCGAAATGCCGGCAGAGTCGCACGTCCCGGCGACGGGGCCGCCGGCAGACGGGGTGTCCTCCGGCGAACGCACCCCCGACACCGGCGGCGAGTCGGCCAGTGGTGAGAGGCCCGAGCCGGGGCCGGACCCTTCGGGCCCATCATTGGCCCAAAAGAAGTCCGGGAACTGGAAAACCCCCGGCAGCCAGTTGCTCGCATCGGAAGAGATCGCCGGGTGGCTAAGCGCATCGGTAGGAGGAGGGAATGGGGGGGGGGGGGGG